CCCCCCCCCCCCCCCCCCCGGCCTCGGCCGAGGCTCTCCGAGCACTGCCGCGGGTCGATCGGGCGAAGCCGAAGCTGCGGCGGGAGGTGGAGGGTTTAGGGCTCTGGGGGCTTTAGGGTCTGAGCTTTAGGAAGTTTGGGGATTTAAGTTCAGGGCTTGAGGGGATTGGGTTTAGGGTTTTCGATTTCCGGCTTAGGGTTTAGGGTTTAGCTTGGATTGTTCAGAGCCCGAGCTGTCTTGGAGCGGATTTTCGACAGGGTTTCGTCCTCGTTTTGGAACGCTTTCTCTTTCGGACTCAGCACTGAAAAGTATCATTGCCGCTGCAACAGGACCAGAGGCTCGGGTGCCTTTGCCTACAACATTGAGCGACTTCCGTTTAACTCTTTCGTGGTTGTAGGCATGAAGCTGCAGCATGCTCGCTTCTGGGTGCTTTCGTGATGCCATGGGTCGCCAGAAGCTGCAGCGTCTCAGGCGACTGGCAGGAAACCTCTCCGGCAGAGCAGTGGGCAGCAGCTTCTTACGTGGTCTTCGGGACTGCCGATGGTTTGAGTGGTTGTGGCAGTCTTTCTGCTGATCAGCAATACAAAGCAGAAGATGCAGCCCTCTTCAACGCATCGGGACTTTGTGTGCCGTCGGAGACGGGTTACCTTGTCCTTGTCCGCAATGTGACCTTCACGAAGGGTTCGGTCTCGAACTGCAGCGAGATTGTTGTGGGCGGCTTCGGCGGCAGAAGCGCCTGCAGTGTGGACCCGCCAGGTGTCAACTCAACAGGGACCTTCTTCCTCTGCAACGTAGTTGTTGAGGGGGGAGTTTGCAAAGGCACGATGAATCAAGAAGGCAACATCCATCTCGGCTTCGTTTCAGAGGCGGTCTCGGTGCCCGCTAGCACTCTCTGCCCGCAGGACTGAGCGCACTTTCACTTGCTCTTAGTGGTAGCCAGCTGCTTATGCCAAGGATTCCTTGTCTAAGGCCTTTCTTGCAATCCTTAAGGGCCCTAAACTATACCCTAAACCTAAACCCCAAACCCGAACAACAGTCGTCCCTGCTTTCAGGACGGCACCTGCTATGACGTGACACGGTGCTCCGCCGGGTCTCTCTCGAGCAGCCACTGGATCACAACGATACCGGGCCTCTTGGGTGTTCTGCTCATGCACGTCCTGTAGAGATCTGTGTAGACGTAGAGACTGCGGTAGTCATGCAACTGTTTACGACTGCTGTAAGACATCTCGCACCACGACAAAAACAACTTTTCGAATCCAGCCGACATGTGAGCTCAAAAGACCCTTCCAAAGCTGCTTGCGACCCGACCCGCACACAGGACCAGCTGCCGGAAGCGAAAACATGGAGAGCCTGAGATGCAAGCAGGAACCCTCAACCCCAAAGCGGGTTCGAGGTTTGGGGTCTGCCGGTGCCGCTGCCACTGCCTGTGCCTCTGCAACTGCAACCGCGACTACTACTGCTACTGCTACTACTGCTAGACAAGCCCCCAAGCCTCGACCCATCGACCCTCAGCCCACCAGCCTAAAACACTGACCCCTACCTCCAGCCTGGCATCACCTAAGGAGAGTTACGCAGAGATCCGCGATTCGACCACAGCCCGGGCAGCAAATGGCGGACTCAGCTTCTGCCTCAGGAGGACCCTTGCACCCTCTTTCAGTAGGATCGTTAGCATTCTGTGGCTTTTGGCCCTTCAGTTCAAAACCCCGTGAACCCTAAGCCCTTAATCTGCTTAAAACCCGAAACCCTAAAACGCGAAACCCTAAAAACCCTGAAGCCCTAAAGCCCTCAAGCCCAATCTGATGCCCCCCGTCAGGAGTCGCAGGATCCCAAGCGCATTCAGATCAGCTTGGTCAAGAGCCAGTCCATCCAAAGCAACCTGGCCTGTAAAGGGGTCGGAATTAGGGCTTTAGGGCTTTAGAGCTTCAGGGCTTTAGGGCTTTAGGGCTTTAGGGTTTAGGGCTTTAGGGTTTAGGGCTTTAGGTTTAGGGTTTAGGGATTAGGGTTTAGGGCGAACTAGTTCGCAGTAACATTGCTGTATAGCCCCGCTGAAGAAGTCTACTATAGAATATCCTGGCAACAACAGTCCTTTATAGTCCGCCTGTATAAGTATACTACACGATACCGCAGTGATGCTATCACGCCGTATAGTCCTTATGTAAATGTTCTACATAATACCCCGCAGCCCTATTCTATTTCTTAAGGCTTCATACTCATCAGTGTAAGACCTTGTCTGGAATCGGAACACAACAGCCCAAAAACCACAGCTCTTAAACCCAAAGCCCTAAGCCCAAAGCCTGAGCCCTTCGTCCGAACTGAGGACTCTTGTACCTCCTGGACGCAGGAGACATGGAGAGGTGGCCGCTCTGATGCAAGAAAGTTCAGATGTGTCCATCGCTATCCAAAGCCTGTTCTAGAAGCCTCTTCTTCCTAAGGGTTCCTTCGGCTATAATACACCCCGATACACCCCTGACCCTATCCTAAATATTAAAGCTTCTACATTACATGCTCTGCTCTGCAAGTCCACTCCCAGCCCTCGCACGCTTTTTCTCCCAGAGCCTTTCAAGGTTAATGGCTGACGCTGGCGCCTCCAACAGAAAGCCCCTTTTGCTCCCAGGCCTCAAGCTCCAAACCCTAGGGCCCTACGCCCCAAACCCTAAACTCCCGCTTGCTATAAGTTTAGGGCTGGGGTGCCCCGGCTTAGGGTTTAGGGCTTAGGGCTATTTAGGGTTGCTACAAAGCCCATGTACAATGTATGCCTGACTTCTTGCAAACCCTGAAGCGTGCTAGCGTAGGCCCCCGAAGAGTGAAGGTGCGCTCTGGAGTCCCAGCCGCCTTCCTACATACTTACGAACCATTCCCTAGGAGCATTTCTGAAGCTCCCCACAAGACCCCATGCACTGCGCCGGGAACACGAGCCGAACCTTAAGATACTACAGGGACTTCAGACGGGATCTATTGGGAATAATGCAAATGTTGCAAAACAACGCGGACTTCAAATCGCACCTGGCAGCTGCGCCGACGCGCCGGCCAGAATTACTCCGCTTTCTACAATGTACAGTCGGGAGTGCATGGCAGCCTTAAAAAAGATAGTATGGGGCTCCAAAATAAGTAGTGATATTATTCCCTTTATAGCTTCTCTAGAGTTACACTATGATATGAAACCCTAATCTAGTTATTAAGGTCCAGAAAGGCATGCTACTACCTGTTCAGGGAATATTCTTACGCCTGTATGAACCCTACATAAACCCTACAGCCTAGAAGGCTTAGCAGGACCGCTCAAGCCTACATGCACCCTCGAAGCCTTAAGCTATGAAGGCTCATCCCGAAGTCCTACGCCCTAAACCCTAAAACTCTAAACCCTAAAACCTAAACCCTAAAGCCCTAAGCCAAAACGCCCCCAAAAGGACTCCGGTGAACCTGGCCACCGCCTGGCATCGACTCGCGAAGTTCTCGCGGAATGAGGATCGCAACGATCAGCCCGAGGAACGGGAGATGCACGCCCGGAGCCCGTGTTTTTGTCTACTAGTGATGATGGGTTTTGTGGTATTAATCAATGGGTGCTTCTTTCTTTTTTTTCCAGGGGGGGCTTTGTTGTCCTTGGTAGTGTTTTGGCATGTTTTATGGTTTCGGGTTCAGTGTTGAGGAAGCCTCGGTAGGTTCACTGTTGGTGCCGAATGAAACATATCACAAGCACGATGGGCTGATGGCATGATTCCGCAGCACTAGTATCTAGTAGAGGCGTTTATTGCCAACAAGCATTGACAGCAGTGGGCATGTGAGCGTTCGTTCGCATCATAATGGCAGGCAGTGGTGCCAGGAGTGGCAGCAGTGGCAAGAGCAGCAGGAGTAGGAGTAACTGTACCAGGTGATAGCAGCAATGAGGAGCAGTAGGAGTAGTAGTAGTAGTAGTAGTAGTAGCAGCAGCAGCAGCAGCAGCAGCAGTAGTAGTAAGTAGTAGTAGTAGTAGTAGTAGTAGTAGTAGTAGTAGTAGTAATTAGTAGCAGTAGCAGTAGCAGTAGCAGTAGCAGTAAGAGTAGTAGTAGTAGTAGTAGTAGTAGTAGTAGCAGCAGTAGTAGTAGTAGTACTAGTACTACTAGTACTAGTAGTAGTAGTAGTAGTTGTTGTAGTAGTAGTTGTAGTAGTAGTAGTAGTAGTAGTAG